CCTAAGACTTTCGTCATTTGCAATCTCTCCAGCCCCGATCATATACGAGGCTACGTGTTCGATAGTAGATTCAGTAGTATCTCCTGAAATTTTGGTAAACTTTGGTACCTTCGCCCTAGGAGGCAATTCTGATTGGAGAATGTAATCTATTATCGGTGATGTATAGTTTGGCCTAGTAAAACCAAAATTTACCCCATTTTGGACCATTATCCTTTCGACCATGGCTGCAAAGTTGTTATCCACAACTATGTTGTTACGTCGAACCTGTTATATAACACGGTCAGTATCTTGGTTCGATTTACTATAACTACCTCTTGTTCACTCTCTACCGGAATTGGCACTTGGTTCTTGGTGGTTCGACTCTAGGAGGTTCGAGTCTAAGAGGTTTGACTACCCCCTAAATTTCTAGATTTGCCTCAGGTACGTTCCCTAGGTTCCGTCGTGGAATATTTTCCACAACAGTTGTGCCTCGAACAGGGGCTGGTACACCCATAAATTCTGCCAAGAGTGCCAATTGCACTGCTAATTGTTGGTTAGTATGGGTAGTGTTCTGGATCAAGGGCTGGAAAATCTCTCCCATAGTTTGGGACAAGGTTTGTACCATTTGTAGGTTACTCTCATCCATTTTCTATCTTAAACATGCTATAGAAGTATTTGTCAGATTAGGACCTTGAGTGGAATACCCCACACCTACACTTTGACTGTTTCGACCCATATTTATCCCAGATCCTGACCCTTGTAATGACGAAGCCATTCCATTCTCTAAGAATACCGGGGGAGCATTTTGGAGGCCTTGGATTACTGACGTTGGCATTCTATACGGTGGATTCCTTGGTAATGGTTGTGAAAATCCTGGAGGGGGAAATGCCTAAACGTCGAAGTTCCTTCTGGTGGAGTTTGGGGATTAGACGCTTGTGGCCCAATGTACTCCAAAACAGGTTGAGTGTAAGCCCTTATATTTGTCGACCCTGAACCTACCACTGATGGCATTGGTTCAGACATAACAGGAGACGATATTGGCTCTCCTGTCAAAAAGAATGGGGGTGGCACTACATCATTCTTAGACACATCTCAAAGATTAGTGTTATTAGGCTGGTTATTTGAATTACTTGGTCGAGGATTAGAACCACCCCCTCGAGGTTTAGAATTGTTTGGCTGATTAGTATTTTCCGCCATTTTCCTAGTGTAGCTTCTCCTTGGTATCTCTTCATTTGTAGTGGCTACTTTTCCACTTATCAATAACATGCAACAAATTTTTCTCCAAGAAAAGACTAACAAATATAGATTTCCAAAATCTTATAAAAATCTTTATAAAATTTAGCACCGTCCCACTGGGCGTGCCAATTTGTTTCCCGTGAAAATTGGAAAACAACTGCTGATCTTCCAAATCTAAATTTGGTGACTCACAGGATCGATCAGATTGATCCTAGGACATATGCTAAATATTAATTCAAATTAAATTCTAAAGACTAAACACTTCGGCAGTGATCATAAAGAAAAGTTTATTTAAAAGTATGGTTCGAAAGAAACACAAGAGCATTAAATCGAAAGAAGAGCTGAAGGCGTTAAAGAAATAAGACATATTGCTGAAACGTAACTTGCAAAAAAAGTAAAAGATAAACTCTTTTGATAAAAAGTCAAAGTAAATTTCATTAAATCAAAAAATGGTGTTTTACATCACGTACATTCTCTCAAGACTCTTTTCCCTACACACGGATGCTTTGAGTAAATCTGGAGTAACTTGTACAAAGTGAACACAGCACCCCTAATCCTATTGTTAGAACTCCTATTTATAATAATAAAACTAATTGTTGTTAACTTCCTAAAACAGTTAACATATGACAAGTGTTGCGCTGCATGCTTTTGTCCCTTGGATGTACGCCACTTGTCTTACTCAGGAGTGGACAAGAATAACTACTCCCTCTCTTATTTGAATTTCAAATTCCCTTAGCATCGGACAATATTCTCGGTCGAAGGTAGCTTTTCAACTCTTAGAAATATTTTCTAAGTCCAAAAAGTATCCCTTTCTTATGTAAGTGCTTCGACTTAAACCTATCATGAAGATCCAGTCGAAGACTCCTTTACACCTCTTCAAAAATTCAACATTCCAACCAATACTTCCAACTTACTATGGGCGTCGAATTTCTGAGCTAACAAATTGCCCCCCAAAAATGTCTTTTTCAACAGTGCTGAAGAGAAATGTCATTTTTTGATAGTGTCCTATTCGACGCCATCTTTCGACTCCACCTAGGTGTCAACGTAACTGACCAACCCACGTCTCAAGAAACTATTCAGTTTCTTTTCAAACATATTCATGACGTCATGGCCAATTATGAAAACAATTTCTTGGAAATCACATCAAATCCTAGACGACCATCACCTTTCCTAGGATTTATGAGATCGTGGGCATAGGTAATAACTGCCACCGCCCCCACTTTCGCTCCTAGGAAGCCATGTGTCCCACTAGCTTTTAGCCCTTAATGATGATTAATGATCTTTTATTACTTCCACACATTTTATAAATAGTCCCTTCAGAAACTATTTTTACTTTCTCAAGATCAAAATAAAAACTCGAAGGTCAAAGGACCAAAGAACGTGTCATTACTTCCTCCTTTTGCTACATTGAGTGGACCCAAGGTAGTGAAGAACCAACAGTTCATCTCTGAACCTCTCAAAGAAGAAAAGAGACATATCTACGAATCTCAGGTAATGATTTCTGTGGTCGTTTCTGGCAAACCATTAGCTCTATCTGGTCCTTTATCTACTTTAGGTGTAGGTTATGCAACCATTAGTGACTTCTTCCCTTCATACTGTAAAGCTAAACCTTAGGGAAAAGGATCAAGCCAGGGTAACCGCTGAACCTCATGATAGTATAGCCATAAAGAACATAAATTTAAAGTATTTGAATGATGGGTCAAGGTTATTTAGAGCAACCCCATACTTCAAAGATTCTGACCTCTACTTGAACTGATTAACAAAAGTAGAAAAAGTCAAAGTAGCAACTTAGAAGAAAATAGGGGTTTATGACTTGATTATGATGTCGAAGACAGGTCCTGCTTACTGTCCAACTCTGCTAGCTTCTTCTTTGTATTTTTGGGATGATACCCATTATACATTCCACCTCCCTTGTGGAATGATGACACCCACCCTTTTCGACATAGCCGCTATTACAGGGCTGAAACCATATGGATTAATTTATGACCATGAGGTAGATGCTCAAGACACCATAGGGTTCTCCACCACCAAACACACTTACACCTACTTCATAAACCACTACCACAACAAACAAACTGACACAGTCGAAGATCAAGAGCATATAGCATTTCTGGCTATGTGGCTTTCTTGTTGTGTATTCTGTACCAAATCTCTACAGGCGGCAAGGAAATACCTAACTCTGGCCAACCAATTGCACCTCAATCGAGGCGTTTTCCTAAGTGAAATGATATTTGTCCAGTTTGTATGAATCTTTAAGTGAAGGTGCTTGTTGACTGAAAGACCTAGAAAGCAATGAGAATCTCTTGCTGTCAAGACCTTTTTTGGCTGCTCCAACTTTGGCTTAATGCCACATTTGAAACTAGTCTCCCTAACAAAGGGACGGTCGACGAGGAAGATTCAGAAATCAAGGAAAGGCAAGTCGAATGGACTCGATTGGTGAAGATAACCCCTAACGAAGAAGGGCAGACACTTAGGGCGTCCTTCTCTGGCTTCATCAAGATGTTTGCCAAACGATATGAGTTTACATCAAGAATGGCCCCATTTGCAGAAAGAAAGTATGGTTCTGAATGGTTCACTAGGGCCTTCTCCCTGCATTCAAGAAACATGAGGCAGAGTCGAAGCTTGTTTGAGAGGGTTTTCTAATCCCTCGACTCATTGTTCACCGACTCAACCTCCTAAAGGGCCAAACAACTTTGATGGCTACCAACCAAATCTTGTCTCTCGACAATTTGGCCTGGTCCAAACTTTGGTCAAGTGTCTGTATGACAAGAAGGTCCTTGTGATCCTTCCTCATACTATCTATAATGGCATAGATAGTTCGACACACCTTGCTCGACATGCCCACAAATCACTCCTTACTCCTATCTACTTTGAGCCCTCTCACCTCTGCACCCAAAAGTTCTACAACTGGTGGTTGAGGCATTATACTGCAGAGTTCCTCGACGTTTCTAGCTTTGCTTAATTGACTAACCAAGCTTTTGTTGATGTGCAGGAGAAGACCAAGCTTTTGATGTTAACCTCCTAAAACAGTTAACATATGACAAGTGTTGCGCTGCATGCTTTTGTCCCTTGGATGTGCGCCACTTGACTTACTCAGGAATGGACAAGAATAACTACTCCCTCCTTTATTTGAATTTCAAATTCTCTTAGCATTGAACATCATTCTCGGTCGAAGGTAGCTTCTCAACTCTTAGAAATATTTTCTAAGTCCAAAAAGTATCCCTTTCTTATGTAAGCGCCTTCGACTTAAACCCATCATGAAGATCCAGTCAAAGACTCCCTTACACCTCTTCAAGAACTCAACATTCCAACCAATACTTCCAACTTACTATGGGCGTCGAATTTCTGAGCTAACAAAAATATACCCTTAAAGTGCAAGTTAACATGATCATATAAATAATCATTTATAACTATTTGATTGGTCATCGTGAAGAAAAATCTTAGACGACTTTACACATTATCGAATTTAAACCATTTATGTAAAAATAAATAAATCATTTGAGAGGCCAAATTAAAATTATAAGATTAAATTAATTTTGTTTTTGTTTTTGTTTACAACAACCAAATTAAAGTGTTGATTTAATTTAATTATTTAACAACATTTGCATAAAATTAAAGCCATTTTATTTTGACTAAAAAAAGAAAGACAATTGAAAAAGGTTGTACTTCTACAATTAATCTCAGTCACAGCAACACAAACACTTCTCAGAGTTGAGAAATGAACAACTCTCGTTCTCCTTTATTTCTCGCACCTTCTCGCTACACGATATTTTGAGGTTTTCTCCATGGAACTCAATCTCACGGTTCTGCAATTCCTTCTCCTTCTTCTACCGTTGTTTCTTCTTCCTGGAATCGCTTCCAATGCGGTGAGTTTTCTTCTTTCTTCATCTTTTAACCTTTTTTGTTTGAACAATTTTGGTAATTTAATGGCTTTGCTTGTGTGTGTTTGTAGAATCTTAATGAAACTTGTGGTTACTTCAATGGTTCACTCAATAGAGACACTAAAGGTATAATATTTAACTCGTAACTTCAAATCTATGTAATTGATCCGGTTCTATAGAATTTTTTAGCAATGTTTTCTGATCTTGTTGTACTTTTCAGTTTTAGAATTGTTATTGTATAAGGATTTTCATGTTGATTATTGAAAAGGAGAGTTACTATTCATGGAAATGTGATTGAAGATGAAAAGGGATTCAATATCTGAGATTATACTTGAGTAGTTTACGTAGTTTGTTATAAATGAAGCTACTGTATACTCGATCGCGTACAATTTTGTCCGACATGAAATTAGTAGTTACTAACTGAATAATGAGATTTATAAGGAAGTTGTTATTAACCACTCATTGTAGTCAATATCGGTCATGGTGGTGTAGCGGACCATAGATACTTTGCAAAACTCCATTGCATTGTTGTTTTAAGTAGAAGCTATAGCATTTTCGGTGAAAAACAAATTGTGATTGTAGTGGCCTCTCCCTACCTTGTGCGGCCTTCCAACGGCCCTCATCCGGAAACAACCACTAGGAAGCCAAATAGAACGAGGAACCAAAGTGCCACTAAAGATACAAACCATGTAGGAAGAAAAGGAGGAGGATGGAGAATAGATGAAGTCTAGTAGTGAAGAGAGTGAACATGATGATGAGGAAGGGCTTGTAGATAGTGGTTCCATGTAAGGAATCACTTGCATTTATATTAAATGCTTAGATGAGTTATTTTAAGCCTTGGAGGGTAAAACTTAATTGCTTTATATTCGGTTTGAATATTTGGTAACAATGAACTTCAATTATTAGTTATGAACATTTCTCTATTTTACATACATGTTTATGATATAATTTTCTAGTATTGTTTCTCTAAATTACAACATAACGGCCATATTGCTACCTATAATATTGATATAACGTTTTGGGGGACTGTCGCTGCGCTATGCTCTTCTATCCTCTATTGACTAGGTAGCGACCACCAAGTAAAATTAAAAAGCCAAATAGTAATCAAACAAATTAATATAGAATCATCTAATATAACTTCCAGGCTCGACCTTCTGATGAGTTTGTATCCAGTGCAGATGCGTGCTCATGCTCACATCCAAATGACGTGCCTAAGAACTCCATAATAGATAATGCTTCTTAGTTTTTAATAACTGAATGTGTTTTATCTTAATTATAACGTACCTTATCTGAAGGTGCTTCAAGTCACATTTTGATTATCATTTATCTACATATTCATGCTTCAGTATCCAAGTATTTAACATTTTCCCCTCTTCTTGTGCAGCACTATGCCCAAATGGTTGGGTTATGGACCCTAATAAGACCAAATGCTTTCTCCATGTTGGGAGGCCTCAATCTTGGAATGACTCGGAGACATGTTGTAATAAATACGGTGGACATTTAGCATCATTGTCATCAGTTCAGGAGCAACATTTTGCTCAAAGTCTATGTGGCGAATCCATAAATAGTTGTTGGATTGGAGGAAGATTACTCAACAGCACTATATCGGGTTTTCAGTGGACTTGGTCAGATAATTCTCAATGGAACAAGTCCATATTTCCTTTGGCTAATGTTCCACTTAATTGTACTGGAACCGGAAGATCATGCCTTAGGAACAGTACAGCTAATTTATGTGCCGTAATGACTAATAATTCAAAATCCCTCATGAGTGAGAGATGCGATAATCCTCATGCTTCTCTATGTATACTGGACTTAGGTATGCTTTTGTTTATATTACCAGTGGATTCTCATTTTACCTTCATTAGAAATTCAGTATGCATATTATCCAATAATTCAACCCATTCTTCCAAAAAGGTTTGTCTTTTTCTTTTTTATTCTTGTGCCTGCTATTTTTTTCAGTTTCTTTTCTTCTATTTTGACTATATTTGTGCATAACTTTTGTAATAATCATTGCCAGCTGAATCGTTTACTCTTTGTGTGCCTGCTATTTTTTTCTCAGTTTCTTTTCTTATATTTTGACAGTTTCTTTTTCCATCTCAGATAGGAGATGTAATCATATGCACTGCCACAGGGATTACCTTATAATCCTTGCAGTGGTGAGTGGCTTGATACTCTCAACAACACTAGCAGTTGTTGTCTGGCTTCTTGTATTTAAGCGAGGCAAAAAGAGAAGACGGTCTAGAAAACTATCTGATCCTGCCACTTCACTTCCATCATGGAAAGTCTATACCAAAGAGGAACTAAGGTCAATTACGAAAAATTTCAGTGAAGGAAACCGTCTTGCTGGGGATACAAAGACTGGTGGTACGTACAGTGGGGTCCAACCTGATGGCTCAAAGGTTGCTGTTAAGAGAATAAAGAGGTCAAGCTTTCAGAGGAAAAAGGAGTTCAATTCTGCAATTGGCAGGGTTGCCAGGCTTCGACATCCAAATCTGGTGGCCGTGATGGGGTGCTGCTATGATCATGGTGACCGCTATATTGTTTACGAGTTTGTAGCTAATGGGCCTTTAGATAAATGGCTACATCACATACCAAGGGGAGGTCGCAGCTTAGATTGGGCTATGAGGATGCAAATTGCAACTACGCTTGCTCAAGGAATAGCGTAAGTTCAAAATCTACTTGTTTTTTTTTTAATAACTTTCTTGTGTTAATTTATACATCTTCTCTTGCCATTTCACATGTTTTCAAACAATCAATAAAAGTTTTCTTATTATCTTATGAAAGCAAACTGTGTTTGACATTTAGGTCATTATCCTTCCGTCAATGCAGTTTGTATGCATTCTTTATAATATCTACTACATGGCCGTTGACCACTCTGACTTATATGTAATATTGCAAATTACATATGGGAACATTTAATTAATTACTTGATTCACACTCTCATTCATGATCTTTTTAGTAGGATCTTTTTTCTAGAGTACCATTGTCACTGATCTGATAGATTGTCATGCTTAGGATTTCTCTGTTGCTAAAATGCATATGTTAAACCAACCGTCCTGTTCTTTGATTTTAATTTTACATCAGACCAATGATCATCATTCTTCTGGCTTTTGCTATGGAAGTTAGGTATCACCCGTTAGCCAATTCAATTGTTATGATAGAGTCACATTAGTTATTTAGCTTGGCTGCTGTACTTGGCCCACAATCTTGTCTGAAGGTTTGGAAAGGCTCATAATCCTCTCAAGCTATTTACTAACTTCAGAAAATAATGTTGAGAGAGATAATTCAATCTTAGTAAGTCCCACCATTATATACACAGGGTCCACTTTGTATCTTTAACTTTTATGGCACGACCCTCTCATGTTAGTAAGTAACACGACGAGAGGGTCATCACTCTTCATATAAAGGGTAACTTAGGAGAAAGAAAGCTATGACCTACCCGTCAATAAGAAGTTTTGGAGGGTAGGGGTTGGAGAAGAGAGGTTAGGATAGGATGGGAAAGGGAGATAAATTTAAAACCACATTTCCAGGGAAACACATATTTGTTGAGTTTCACATAATTATGGATTATAGTTTTCGTTCTTTTAAACAAAAGTATTTTACCGGGACTTCTTGAAATCATTATAAACCTGATTTAGCAACAAGAAAAAATGACTCATAGCATTTTAAACTCGGCGTACATATTAATCGTAAATAATTTTTTCTTCTGTTTCAACAGGTTTCTACATGACAAAGTTAAGCCACAAGTTGTTCACCGAGATATACGAGCTAGTAATGTGCTGCTGGACGAGGAGTTTGGAGCGCATCTTATGGGTGTTGGCTTGTCCAAGTTTGTGCCATATGAAGTAATGCATGAGAGGACTGTCATGGCAGGTGGAACCTATGGATATCTTGCTCCGGAGTTCGTCTACAGAAACGAGCTTACAACAAAGAGTGACGTCTATAGTTTTGGTGTCCTACTACTTGAAATAGTAAGCGGACGTAGACCAGCACAAGCAGTTGATTCTGTGGGTTGGCAGAGTATATTCGAATGGGCTACACCTCTTGTTCAAGCTCACCGCTACCCTGAACTCTTGGATCCTTATATATCTTCCTCGTCTACTAGTATCATCCCTGAGACTAGCGCTATCCAAAAGGTTGTTGACCTTGTTTATTCATGCACGCAGCATGTCCCTTCTATGCGGCCTAGAATGTCACATGTTGTTCATCAGCTGCAACAGTTTGCCCAGCCACCTGCAAAATAAAGCTAATTTAGTTTCTATGACTAAGGTTTTAAATTGCGGTATCAGGTCCTCACAATCCTCGGTATTAGAAAACTAGAAACAAATTTGGCTTATACAGCTGCGACTGCGGTTGTAGAAGTCCCAAAAATATTAACTTTGTGGCTGCATACCTTAATTTAAAACCTTAGTTTGGAATTTGAGGTTTTGTATGTATAACTTAACTTGACGCTTGAGAAAGTTTTTTCTTAAAGTAATAGATTTGCTTAATTATTAGGCAGCAGTAGCTTGGATTAGAGTAGGTAAATTCTGTGAAACATACATATATTGTAATTGTACAAGGTAACTACTACTAGTCTTGGTAGAATTTTTACTAGAATTGTGTTTGTCTTAGGTGACTTTGAATTTTCATTTTTGGTAACTTTGTAACTTTCTTTCTATCTCTATCTAAATCAATCACTCTCAACAAATAATTTATTTTAATTATTCTTTCATCTCTCAAATACTATACTAAGGCTCCAAGTCTAATTTCACTTGGACCATAATGTTGCCAATCATTGTTGATGGATGATATTCATTATTTCCTTATTGTATTTGATTTATATCAATTATATTGGTTTTTAATTTATGATGCATAAATCCAATATTAGAATAACCAAAACTTGAAAAACAAGAACAAAAAAAATTCTATATTTTTTTAGGCCAAGAGTAAGGAGACGAATAACTGGATTAAAGAAACTGATAGCGCTAACACCAAAGAACTCCATTACATGGATTACATGAAAAAAACAAAACGAGTTGCACCAAATTAAGTTTACATTTATGGCATTATAGCCATGTTCAAGCAGCATTACAATATTTTCATTTTAAAAAAATGCTTGATTGAACCCTAAAAGATATAAACAAACAATGAATATCTAGCTATATTGCATGGGATATCAACTTAGCACTTCCAGGTTGCTGCCAAATAAGTAACATTAACACCAACATTTATTGAACTTCCTGCTATCATGCTATAGCATTTTTAAGGTCACCCGCTATGCTCTGCTATCTGGAATTAATAACAATGTTACTGATAATTTTCTTTATTCTTGTGATTTACTTTGAGTCTTATAAAAGTGTCATATTATGAGACGGAGGAAGTAGTTAATAAGATCTTATATTTAAAAACAAACGTAGTAATAGATAAGCAATTTACATTAAATTCAGATTGTTTGAGATTGTTGCTCCTCAAATAAAGTCTGCATTCGCTGAAATGTACATAAAATCCTCTCAGTAAATGAAAAGAAAAACAAATCTCAAACCAACATGTCCCTAAATTTTTTGTTTCTCCTCATTCTAAACTCAATGTGATCATTGGAAAATGACAATACTATATGATGCGTTTAATTTATACCTTGACAGAGCTTCCAACTTCCTCTAGTTTCTGCATTAGCAGCAGATCCCTTAAACGAGTAGAATCGTATCTCTCAGACTTAGATGGAGACATCTACAATGACAGAAAACAATGTCAAATCCGAAGATAAAGACCATAAGTAACCAACATGAACAATAGGACTTTAAAATATAATCAACAACCCTTGCGTTTCATGGGTATATGACTTTAATTATTGTCCGCTTAGAAACAAAAGATGCCAAAAAAGTAGAGCAAAATTTGAATAGTTTCTACCATCAAATGCGAAGAATCTTCTAATGTAGACGCTTGTCTTGAAACTAACTCATTTCTTATGTTTGATAGGCGCATCATAACAGCCTGAAAACAGTTCAAAGTGAAAGAAGAAATAAGGAAAGAAACACAAACACACAATTTGATCATACACGGAAAAATACCTTCCTGAAATCGTTAGGATTTGCAACGCCGAGGATTTTAACATCGTCACTGGGTGGCCTTCTAACTCCAACATTTTCAATTCTAACAGAGCATACACCAAAAAGGGATTGCAAGTACCCTATGAACATATATCATTAATCAGATACTAGAAATCAAAACCATGTATTCGGTGCAGGCGAGTATTTTACGAACATATATAATTAACGAGATACTAGAAATCATGGTTTTATATTGTGGTCTGCAACCTCAATTGTAACTGCAATATAAAGGATTTAGATGTCTGTGCAACGGCATCACAACTGCAAATAAGAGCGCAATTACCTCATTTTCTTGCATTTTAAGTACCCAACGAACCGATAACTAATCAGACTCTAGGAGAAAGCAGAAAATAGTGCACCTTGTTCAACCACGATATCAGCCACGGAATGCAGTAAAACATGCTTCTCTTTATGCAGCACCCCAAAACATGGAAATGGTACCGGCCTTGTGACCTGAGCTAGATAAAACACATAACTACATTACATGTCATGAGATCCATATACATGCAAATTCACACTTCATACATTCCCAAGCTATCAAAATCAGTACAAAGCCAAAACCATTCAACATGTTTAAAGTGAATAGTTTATCATAAACATAAAATATAGTTACCTTTTGGTATAAACTTATATTCTTATGCGCAACTACGAAGACTAATCTCTCAAATAGGTAGAACCACGTCAGCTACAAAGTAACAAAGTTCTCCATTAAAAATTTCAATTTTGCTTCATTCTCGAGTCTCAAATCAAACTCAAGAGTACCAATTAAACTGAAAGACACTAGTATTATCTTATCCAAACATTCTTGATATCAAATGTAGTTACTAGTTTTGATCAAAAGAGATTAAAAAAAATGTTTTTTTTAGTGAAAGTTCCCTAATATTGAAGTAAAATCACAGTTTGTTATTCATGGTTTTAAATTGTGGTATGTAACTACAATTGTGGTCGCAATATTGTTGATGCGGTAGTCTCTACAATCCCACGTCAGACTGCAGTTGCATCATGATATGAAATCATGCGTTCTTCTACGTCAGGAACCGCATCAGACAACTTTGTCCAAGTTTCTTAAATATATTCGTCAAAACTCAAAATTTAGAAACCCAAAACTCAATTACATCTAAAAAATCTTAACAATAAGTGTTTCTTAACTGGGTATTTCAAACTCTTCTCAATCAAAATTCACTCTGTATCGGTAGCAATATTCATCGTAGCAACCACAATGACCACAATCGCAACACCCATAACCAAAATTTAAAACCATGATACATATTAATGTATTTGATCACAATCTCAACAAATCTCCAACAACAATTCATAGAAGTTGTAAAACACTTTCTCAAATTCAATCCAATTTCATGTCCAATAAAAATGAAAACACAACATATTGAAATGAAAAATTAGAAGATTACCTTATAAACAATAGCATTTGGAGTAAGGTAAAGGGTTCTAGAACGAATATCATTTCTAAGTATAAACCTTCTGATTGGTATATAAAGCAACATGAGTAACCCAATTCCCCAAGCTAATATCAGTAACAATGAGTAAAGTACCCACTGTACCGTTTGGTACTTGACGAAATTCTCCTCCGTTTCTTTAAACGATGCTGAATATAACACTTCTTCGTCTTCTTCATTGTCTTCCAATAAACTCTTCTCTAAGGTCTCTATTTCCACAACTTCATCCATTGTTTTCGTAAATGCTACTGCTGTTTTCTTTGCTTGGTAGTTGCTACCATTCAACGGATTTTCAACTAAAACAAACAATAAGCCAAAACAAACAGTTTTCTACGGGTTTTGCTACGTCGGGCATCTGAGTTTCTTTTCACGCTCTATCTTTACTCAATACACCACCTTTCTTTTTTTTTTGTTAATTTTTTATTTTACTTTATTTAAATAAATAAATATTATATCGGACTATTATTCTTTTTAGGTTTAAATAGTGTTTTCGTTTCTGTAAGTTAGCGATTTTTTGGTTTTCGTTTCAATTTTTTTTTTTTTATGAGTCCCATATATTCATTTCTCTTTGGCGTTAGTCTCTGATGTCAATGAAATCTTAAAAAAAAAGATAAGATGGCAGACGATGATGATTTGACTTATTCCTTATCATTTTCATTTATATTTTCTTTGAACACGTGGATATAATGTTTTTTTTCCCAAAAATAAGCCATCGAAAAGACATTTCTCTCTTTTATGTTTAGTCCCTATAAATTAGGGTTTCATATTTAGAAAGGAATTCAGCTCAAGGAAGGTGAAACGACTGGTGCGAGAGCTTGTTTGGGAAAGACGGCGAAGGGTGACGAAGCTACAATCCTGATTGAGCGATCTAATCGAATCTATCAGGTATGACATTTACGGTGAACATTCATTAAGGGGGAAGTTTGTTAAGGATAATGTCGTGTACTATTTAGACAGGGATAATGTTGAAATAGACATTGACCCTGATAGGTGGAGCTTCTTTGAAGCAACTGGTATTGTGAAAAAACTTTGCAACCTTGAGCCCACTGATTATTGGTTATGGTGGTATAACAGTATATCGGGTAGGCATGCAAGGATAGTTAGTGATATTGATACTGCTGATGTTTATGAAAAAGCTGTTGAAACTAATTGTAGTGTGGATTTATTTGTTGAGCATAAAGTAGTTGTAGCTGATAATGTTGTTAATGATGCTGATAAAATCGTTAATGATGTTGATAATGTTAAGGATACTATTGATAATCTTGATAATGTTGAAGCTGATAATTTTATTGAGGATGATGTTAGTGATAATGTTGGATATGGTATTGCTGATAATGTTGATGATATTGGAGCTGGTAATGTTATCGAGGATGATGTTCATGATAATGTTGAAAATGTTGATGGTGATGCTGGAAATCTAAATGTTGATGAACCTGTCAAGGTTGATGAGAATGTTGATGGTGTCAAAGGAGATGATAATGGTTATAATGGTTTATCATTTGAGGACAGTGAGGATGAAAGGGCCCTTGGCATGGATGATGGATTTGATGTTGTAGACAAACCAACTAGAAGGGTTAAGGAAACACAAGAATATTCCAACAAAAATAAGAAATGTTAATGCTAACGTGGGTTCATTAAGTGGAGTTAGTGTCGGTAATGAAGGGCTTGAAACTAATTATTTAAGTGATGATCTAGGCAGTAGTGATCCAGATGCATCAGGTGGAGAGAAAGGACCAAAATATCCTAGTTTTAAGATGGAAGAGTTAGACAAGAACTACAAGTTCAAAGTTGGTTTGGAGTTTGTATCTCTAACTGAATTTAAGGAGGAAATAACTGAATGGTCGGTGTTAAATGCAAGAGAGATAAAGTATGTGAAAAATGACAAGGTTAGAGTGAGAGTAGTTTGCAAAGGCAATTGTGGGTTTTTGGATCTTGTTAGTAAAGTGGGGAATAAGCACACGTATAGAATGAAGAAATGGTTTGGTGCACACACGTGTGATAGAGTTTTGAATAACACCATTGTTAACTCCAAGTGGATTGCGAAGACTGTGGCGGCTAGAATGGCTTCATCTGATGGAATCAAGCTTCGTGATATTGTGTCTGAGATTAAGAGTACTTACTCTGTAGGTATATCTATGAACAAGGCATGGAAGACTAAGAAAATTGCAAAAGCTTTGGTTGAAGGTGATGCAACAAAGCAATATACACTATTATGGAGGTATGTTGCAGAATTAAGGAGGGTCAATGCAGGGAACACCTGCAAAATTAATGTCTCCAGGATTGCTCCAACAATTCATCCCATATTTGGATGCTTTTATTTTTTCTTTGATGGGGTAAAGAAGGGATTCACTACTGGTTGCAGGTCATTCATTGGTGTTGATGGATGTCACCTAAAGACAAAATACGGAGGCACATTGCTTGTTGCTGTTGGAAGGGATCCTAACAACTAATATTACCCATTGGCCTTTGGTGTATGTGAGACTGAGATAAAGGAGTCATGGAGGTGGTTCTTGACCTTGCTTTTGGAAGACATTGGACAAGACAAAAGATGGGTATTCATATCAGACCAGCAAAAGGTACTTTTCAGATCTATATAATTTTTTGAATTCATCCTTAATCTATGTAATTGTGTTTTGATTTGGTCCTTGTATATATCAACTTGTTTTGAACTAGGTCCCTGAATATGTCAATTTGTTTTATATATTTTTGTTTGCTTGAAATAAGTACCTTATTTTATTGTTTGTTTTGATTTGTAGAGCTTAATTCCTATTTTTGAAGAGATGTTTGAAAGGGTGGAGCATAGGCTTTGTCTTAGGCATTTATATACCAATTTCAAAAAGAAGTTTGGTGGTGGCACACAGATTAGAGATTTGATGATGGCTGCAGCAAAGGCCATATATATACAAGCTTGGGAAGCAAAAATGAAAGAGTTGAAGGTATTTAATCCTAAGGCTTGGAAGTGGTTGATCAAAATACCTACAAAATCATGGTGTAAGCATGATTTATCATTTTATCCCTAATGTGATGTGCTAATGAATAATGCCTAAAGCTTTTAATAGCACAATTCTAGTGGCTAGGGATAAACCAATCATAGCCATGTGTGAATGTATAAGAAACTACCTTATGAATAGAAATTTTAAATTAAGAGAAAAAAATGGATAGGTGGGCACATAGTATAATGCCAAGACCTAGAATTAGGTTAGATAAAGAGGTAGAAAATGCTGGTAATTGGATTCCAAACTAGTCTGATGATTCTACTTGACAAGTTGAACATATCCATAGCAAACATAGCTTTACAGTTGACACTTCTAAAAGAACTTGTACATGTAACTTTTGGGAATTGGTAGGCATACCATGTAGACATGCAGTTGATGCCTTAGGCTTTAGGAATGAACACCCTGAAGACTATGTAGATGATTTCTATTATAAAGAAACATATGTGGCATGCTATTATTTCAATATTAGCCCAACTAGTGGCCAAGACATGTGGCCTAAGGTTAATACTGAGGAGATGTTGCCTCCATCATACAAAAGAGGCCCTGGTAGGCCAAAGAAACAAAGGAGGATGGAATCTGATAAGGACCCTAACAAGGGAAGGACACAAACATCTTATTGTTGTACCAACTATGGTGTACATGGCCACAATGCAAGGAGCCGTATAGTTCTGGTGCCTGACCCTGAAGCTCAGAAAAGAAAGGTATTAACTTAACTCAATTATGTATTCATACTAACCGTTTGTAAGTGATATTGGTTGAATCACTCCGTGTGCAGAAAAAACCCAAAGAAAAATGCTACGCAAACAACACAGCCTGAAGCTTCTATTGAACAACACAACTCTGAAGCTTGTACTGAACAACAACAACCTCATCATGAACCTCCCACTGAAGAACAACCAGAAACACAATGTGATGTGGACCCAGAGTTTGAAGTGCTTGCAGCAAATCTTTGTGCAGCTTTTGAAAGAACACAACCTCAACCCAATGTCAGTGATCTCACTTCCCAAATTCCAACTCCAACTAATGTTTCTAGTGTCCATGCTCCAAGTATTGAGGTTGCACCCGTAATGGTTTCACAAGGAGTTGGTGACTTACAACCAAACTACATTTTGTCTGCACCTGTTCCAGAGGTTGAGCCTACACCTAATGAACCTTTTCATGCACTTCCTCCTAAGGAACCTATTTCTGCCCCTCCTAAACTAGTTGAGCCATGCTACTGACTAATTGACATAATGTGCATGTTCTCAGTTTTAATTGACTTAATGAACTTGCTTCGTTGTGTCTTTGTAGGCAAAAAAACCTAAACAAAAGGTCGCAAGGAAGTTGGCATTGAGGAAAAGTGATGGACCAAGGGTTCTCAGAAGCAACAAGCGTAAAGGAGGAGAAGGAAGTAACCTTGCTAAAAAGAGAAAGAAGTAACCCTGCACAAGGGGTTACCATGGAGTTTGTAGTCATTCGACCTATTTTAACTTATGTTTTATTGAACAACTTTACTACAATGATGTACTTAAGCCTTGTAGTTTTCTATTATGTATTTTGATGCCAACATGTATTTTGGCTTAAGACTTAATGTTTATGATACAATGTGTTTTTTGGCTTAAGCCTTTATGTGTATGATACAATGTGTTTATGATGCATTATCAAGTTTATTTAATGCAGTATATTATATTTGTTTTATGATACATTATCAAGTTTGTTTAATGCAATATTTTGGCTCAAGTTAGTTTTATAGACAATTGATATGGCCTATTACCAATTTGATACATAAATTGGCTCAAGATAGTTTTATGGACAAATGATATGACCTATTACCAATTTGATACTAATTTGATATGTCTTATACCTTAATTGACTTAATTGCATACATAAATTGTCCAAAACCAAAACATCTTTTTCATTCATCATATTGTACAGAGACCAATCTCAAAATACATCAATGTTACAAGGACTAACAAAAAAAAAGAAACAAACATAAACAAATGGGATTCACCACCATTTGTGATAAGCAAAGAAGAACCCCCATGACACAACCAACAATAGCTTCAACAGAGACACTTTCCTCTTCTCATTCTCCAACTTAATCTTCATCTTTGCCTTTTTTCCAATCTCAAGCTTTTTAACAATGGACCCTAAATCCTTCAACAATTCTGAGCAGTTGCAACGACTTGAACTTCTAAGATCACTAGCTGGATTTCGTTCAAGTTCATCGTCCCAAATGAACTACTTGCAACCAGA